AACATAATAATTATATTATTGTAGGTTGAAAACCCTATGTACTCACCAGGTTTCCCAACCTGACCCACTCAAGCTTATTTGTATCACAGGTGTCGATACGAAGCTACTTTACACTGAGAGATTTAAAAGAGATGTAGATCACTAGTGTAAATAATGTAAGTTCTGTTTATGCTTATGTTTCTGTATTGACAATGACATCCTAATGTTTTGAAAATGAATAAAAATACATTTCCTCGGAAATGATTTGATAACCTATTTATCACGTTTTCTGGGAACAAATTCCGCAACATTTTTGTTAAAATAAGTACTCTGATTTTTATAAAGCATAAACAAAATCGGTCTTTTCTGGCCGTGAAAATGGGCATGTCACAATATGCTTAAGGATGATTGTAATCACCCCAATGCTAGAGATGATTAAGCAAGCTTAGAGTGAAACAAATCTCAGGTTTTTATATAGACAATCGTGGCTTGTTAACCCTGCACGATAGAGTGTGGGTCCCGTACGCTGGCGAAACTCGACAAATACTGATGGATGAGGCACACAAGTCCAAGTTCTCGATTCACCCAGGGGCTACAAATATGTACAGAGATCTCAGATATAGTTAATGGTGGTGTCACACCCCCAAACCAAGGATGGCGGAAACGTCCCGGGGTGGAGGACTTCATGTATAGTATCACAACAACGAGTATATTAGTGCTCAAAGTAAATACAACCATCATAAATATAATTGAAAAAGTTATACCAAAGTATGAGTTTACATGTTTCAAATCAATTACACTATGATGACAAAAATGAAATGTTTGACGATTTAACGTCCCATCCTCAAAAGCTGTTGATTTCCTGTTTCACTGATTTCCTGAGAATACAAGTAGTTTTGAAAGAGTGTCAACAATTAAGTTGGTGAGTTCATAAGAGTTTTATTTGAGAAAGAAGTCGTTATCCTTGTAAAAGCGATAGAGTATGATCCCAGAAAATTAGATATTTTCTTTATTAAGTGTAAAATGAACACTCATATGTTATGCAATAATGTACCCTAGAAAGACCCATAGATTCCTTCTATGATCACACATCGTATATAAGTTATATAAAATTCAAGTTAAATAAATCGTCGAATATAACAGGTCTTCCCTAGGTCCACAACCAAACAAGGAACATGAAGTAAGGCGGACCCACCAATTCTAAGTCGACTGTGACTATATTCTTATATAACTCTAACATGTACACTTAGTAATTATAGCTGAAGTCTAACAATTCTAGATGAAACATAGTTTTAATATCATGAAAGCCATTTAGTGTAAACCTGGTACTTTGTAATGTATAATTCAAGAAAATCCTCTATTTTCCTTATAAAAAGTCATGTAGTAAATCCCAAGACCAAGAATATGTGTGTGTTTTGTATTTATAATGTTTATAATAGTAATGTGTTTCCAAAGAAAATTCAATATTTTCCTTATAAAAAGTTATGTAGCCTTAAATCCCAAGACCGAGAATATGTGTGTGTTTTGTACTTATAATGTTTATAATAGTAATGTGTTTCCAAAGAAAATCCAATATTTTCCTTATAAAAAGTTATGTAGCCTTAAATCCCAAGACCGAGAATATGTGTGTGTTTTGTACTTATAATGTTTATAATAGTAATGTGTTTCCAAAGAAAATCCAATATTTTCCTTACAAAAAGTTATGTAGCCTTAAATCCCAAGACCGAGAATATGTGTGTGTATTGTACTTATAATGTTTCTAGTTTTAAATAGATAAAACCCCTTTTTAAAGTAGAATTTTCCCCGTAAACTTGAAAGATTTTTAACTCCCTATGTGAGTCGTTATAACCATACTATAACGAGAATTAACCTGCAACAACGTTTTTCAGACGTCAAGATCCTATGAATTTTGTCACCCGTAGACTTGCAGATCCTGTTGTAGCTAGCAGCGAGGTGTGGGGTGTCAATCCCAATATAGATCTATACAAAATTATCACGCTCTCCCTACAAGAGACTCTGGTTATAACTTACAGGAATTTGAACCCGTACTCTAAGAGTACGATGGAAGAATTGTCTCACAACTTACGTTAACTAGTTTACATATAGTTTGAGTATAAAACCTCTTCCGTGGTGGAAGTGAAATCACCTTTTATGAAAATAAATTAGTGATATGAAATCCATAAACTATTACTATTATAGTTTATCATGTAGTATATGGAAAATCCCATTTGTGTTGAGAGTAAAACCTTTTTCATGTAGTATGTTTTTATCGTAAAATCCATAAACTATACTTATTTTAGTTTATTGTATGTGTTCAAAATGAATGAAAAATCCTTATCATGAATGACTAAATTTCTATTTATGATGATAAACTAACAAGAAATACATTCAACATTTAGAAACTTATTGTTATGCACTTTGCTCAACATACTACAAAGTGTTGTTAATATTGTAAGCTATGTAACTAGTTTTTAACCTTTCTGCACTGTTTTGAAAACATCATAGAAAAATCATACAAAGTCGAAAACTAAATCCGTAAACTCTGAGAGTTTAGAAAGTGTGTCTAGTTTATTCATAATTTTTATTATGATTTTTAGAAGTCTCTAACTTGTGTGAAAATGTTCATATTAACAGACTGGTCCAAATTCGTTTTTGAAATTATAGTCAGCTTTGTAAAAATCACCATAAATTGTAGAAAAATAGTATGGAGATGTGCAAGTAGTAATCTTAAAGGTATGAACCTGAACTATTTTCATATTAAACATTTTTGAAAGATATTAAGTTTAAGATGGTCAAAACAGTCTGTGAATGGAACTAAACTTTCCTGTTGAAAGCTGATGTTTGAGTTTAGTTAAGTTTTTGATATTTTAACTTGTATTCCCCCCCTAAAACTTGAAGAAAACATGAAAATGTGGGGGTATGAACTCACCTTGAGTTATTTTCTGAGATGAATGATGAAGAGAAGAAGTTTCCAAGTCAAGAACACTTGGGAGAAGCTTGAAGATTCGAAGATCTAAGAACAAATATGTCGATATTTGTGTAACAATTCCATGATTTGAGTGAAAGAGTGTAAGATAATCAAGTGAGGGATGAAATTTACTTACCAAAAGAGGATGAAAAGCTCAAAACCTCTGGAGAATCTCGAAATCTTGTAGAGAAATGAGAGAGAAAAAGTGTATTTACTTTTGGTGAAAGAGTGAATATCTTGGAGGAGAGACAATGATTTCCCAATACTTGATCAAGATAACTTGCTGGAGAAGGGTGTGAGGGAACAAGGAATATACTAGGGATGATAGGAATAGTGACATAAAGCATGAATAGTGACATGGAGGTGTCATGGAGTGGGTATGGGAGGTTGTTTCTGTCATAGCTTTATGGTAAAGTCAACACTCCACCTTAAAAATCTAGCCCAATAGATTTTATTCTTGGACAAGGATTTCCCCCAAAATATGATTAATTTATGAATATTTAGGGTCTCTTATGTCAAAATACGAGTTTGGGTGAAAATCCCGCGTTAAAATCACGAAAAACGAGCTTAAAACGAAGTTGGGGTCGAAAACCGGGAAGAAATGGTAAAATCCGAAGTCAGGCCGAAGGTTTGGTCCTTGGATGCTTAGAACCGAAGGCTGGTTCGGTCCATGGCTAGGAACCGAGAGTGGCTGATCCGGGCAGTTTCACATGCGAGAAGGGAAAGGGAAGCGAAGGCGAAGGTGGGTGAGAAGCGAAGGTAGGCAAGAAGCGAAACAAGGTGGTTCCGGACCGAAGGTAAACTGGACCGAAGGGGGGTTTCGGTCTTAAAAAAGGGTTCGACTCTAAGGGAGGTTCGACTCTAAGAGGGTTTCGCTCCTATAAGAGGGTTCGGTCCTTAAGCTAGTCTCGGTTCTAATGAGAGGTTCGGTTCCTTAAGAGGGTTCGGCTCCTTAAGAGGGTTCGGTTCCTTAAGAGGGTTTCGCTTCTATAGAGCTGTTTTTCGCATAAACTTCCCGTTTCGAGCGGTTTTTGACTAAGTTAAGGGTCGGGATGCCCTAAATGATTATAAAATAGTTGAGGGAGGTTATGAGAGAGATTTGGGAGAGATTTCACATGCTTGGAGAGATTTGGGAGAGATTTCACATACTTTGAGAGATTTGGGAGAGATTTGAGATAGAGAGAGATAGAGTGAGAGAGATTGAGAGAGGCTTTGTTTGCGACCTTTGCGAGTGTTTAACTTCGAAATGCCAGGTTTGTAAACCCCGTTTTGCCTTTGCGAGTGTTTAACTTCGAGATTTCACTAGTAGACAGGTACCGGAGCCAGGTTTTGAGAAGATGGAGCTCGTTCAAGACTCATCTTTCATTTTGAATTATATTTTGGTGTCTATTAAATTTGGCAAGACATACTTGTATTAAAATTATATTATTAATGCAATGGATGATGTTGTTGCTTGTTTACTACTATTCATTGTTGTGATACTGTACATGACATCCTCCGCCCAGAACGTTTCGCCGTTCTTGGTTTTGAGGTGTGACAAAAACCAATACAAAAATCAAAATATCCAAACCAAATAGTACAATCCGAATTGTTCAATTGGACAATTCGGTTTTATCAAAATACTGAACAACCCTATATATTAAATCATTTTTGTTATTGAAAAGAATATACAAGACAAAATGAAAAAAACATTATTTAAAAAAGCTTTTATTGAACAAAATGCTTGTAACTTGAAAATTTAAGTGGAATTTTTTTGATCGAAAAGAAGTCAGGTAACAAGAGGGAAACATTTTTATTGTTTTCTCAAATAAAAAAACTAGAAAAAAGAAAAAGAAAAGCTAAGCTAAAATAGTTTTGAAAAAATTGAATTTTGGTTACGACTAAGCCAAGACTTCAAATAGGACGACGACAGCTAAGTTGATAGTCTCAATCTAACCGTCAGATTGTATTCTAATCGAGCGGCACTAGCTTACGATCCATGTAGTAGAATCCTATTGGCCCATATCAAACTCTCCAAACCACTATATATACAAACTGAGACCATTCTTTCGCACAACCAAACTTCTCACAGCTGGAGATCTTTTTCGTCATCTCTCCTTTCGTTCGTGTTTCCGATAACTTTCTCCGGCGAATCTCTAAACAGCAATGGCCGGTCGAGGTAAAACAATTGGATCCGCAGCGGCAGCAAAGAAGGCCACCTCAAGAAGTAGCAAGGCCGGCCTCCAATTTCCCGTCGGTCGTATCGCTAGATTTCTCAAAGCTGGAAAGTACGCCGAGCGTGTTGGTGCCGGTGCTCCGGTCTACCTTGCCGCCGTTCTAGAATACCTCGCCGCTGAGGTGATTTCCTTGATCTATTAACGATTAAATATATTGATTATTAGTATGTTTGGAAACTTTAGGGTTTCGTATTACTTTTTGGGGGAATTTCTCATTGTGAAATTGATGCTTTGCAGGTGCTTGAGTTGGCTGGTAATGCAGCGAGGGACAACAAGAAAACGAGAATTGTGCCGAGACACATCCAATTGGCTGTGAGGAACGATGAAGAATTAAGCAAGCTTCTTGGTGACGTTACAATTGCAAACGGTGGTGTTATGCCTAATATTCACAACCTTCTTCTTCCCAAGAAAACCGCTGGTTCTTCGAAGGCTTCTGTTGACGACGAATAGAGAGGTGCATCTATCAAGATGGAAGGAAACGGTTTAGCCTGTGATCTTTCCTCTTTCGTGCGTCAAAGAAAGTGTTTTGATTAGACATTGTGTTCATATATCTCAATCTAGTGAAAATTTCTTAGCTTTTCTACTTCCATGTTGTTCCAATTCAATCATATACTATTTCTCTACGTGGTTTTTTAGGTTTGTTGTTCTTGATAAGTCGATCAAGATTTGCTGTTTGGGTTATACCATTTCAACGGTGCATTACCCCTTTATATATTCTTTTAGCTATGTAATAGGTGGTTACAGTACCCATTTCCAAATGATTTGTTAAAGAATTTGGAACTTGTCGGATCGAAAACTAATCTTTTGTAATGTATTATTTAGATGCAAGTTTTAGGAACTTGCGTTTTGAAAATTAGAGTTTGGTAAATATAGTTTTTGAAATATGAATTAAAGTCTTACTATGGCTTAGGTTTAGAATTGATTTAATTTATGGTATTTGAAGGGTTTAGTTTATGATGTTTTTGGAGTTTGGTAAATATAATTCTTGAAATATGAATTAAAGTCTACGTTTAGATAGCATGTATGTTGTGCATACTCTTACTAGGGGGCTTAGGTTCAGAATTGATTTGATTTATGCTATTTGAAGGGTTTAGTTTATAATGTTTGATTGGATGCAAATTTGATAGCGTTTTTTGACATAAACTATTACATTTTCGGGTCATATGCACCAAATGGGATGTACTCAAGGTCATATACGATTGATATGCAATTGGTGTAATAACTTAAGAACGAGTTATGTAAATATAAATGACATAGTTGCGCCATGTTATTGGGATTTTGTTGAAATGTGTTAAAAGAATTGGGGAAAATACGAAAATCAAACGCCAAGTGGAAGTATTGTGAATTGTGATCATTAAAGATGAAGGGTGACAACGAAGTTGATGTTAATGGTTCTACATGAAAGCGCCCTCAATGAAGTTATGAAAAAGAAGCATTATTAGGTTATTCGTTATTATCACAACATATTTGCTGATTACTAGTGAAGTGCATGACATCAAGGTAACTAGCCCATAACATGTTTACTAGCGTTGGGGGAGGTGCTCACCGGTGGTGTTCACTAATGAAAATCCCTCCACATAGGATTCTTAAATGTGAAATGTTCCCATACCGGAAAGCCTAAGTTGTTGATAAAGATTGTGATGGACAAACGATTGATGTTTTTGATTTGATTAGGGTTATGGGGTGTACCTATCTTTTAATGTAGAAATTAGTAAAAACGAGCTCCTTACGAATGATGACAACACTAAGAATCTCTCTCGTATCCTAAAGTGTTTTCATATCTCCTTAGGGATAAAGGTTAATTTTCTCAAATCTCGATTATTTGGGATTGGTATTCATGATCAGGAGATTCATCGCATGGCTAAAGTCTTGGGTTGCGTCGAATCGTTTCCTTCCAAATACCTGGGTGTACTCGTGGGGGCTAACCTTGCCTTAAAGAAACATTGGAAGCCCATCATCGATAACTTTCGATCCAAATTATCAAATTGGAAAGCCAAATCTCTATCGTTTGCGGGCGTCTCACCTAGGGGTGGCAAATCGGGACATCGTGTCCTGTTTTTTTTTCTTTCCTGAAACGACACCACACGACAATGTTTTATGTAACATGAACATGACAAGACATGATGTCGGGTTTTTTTTTTAACTAACACGAAAACGAACGGATTAAAAAATGACAAACACACACGACACGACAAAGATAACATTAAATAAAAAGTAGTTTATTTAATTAATATTAATACTTAATAATAAATAACACGACACACACGAAAAACACGACAAACAAATACTAAATCGTGTCGAATTTTGAACACGAACTCGACACGACACAACATCGTGTTTTTTACACTTGACACGAACACGAATTTGAATTTCAGTTTCGTCCCAATTTCGTTTCGTGTTGTGTATTTTTGTCGTGTCGTGTTATCAATTGCCACCCTAGTCTCACCTTAATCAAATCCGTTCTCGGAAGTCTTCCAACCTATTTCATGTCACTTTTCAAAGCTCCACAAGGCATTATTGATCTCCTTGAAAAGATCAGAAGTAAGTTTCTTTCCGGAGAAGATGATCTAAAGTCGAAAAGCCATTGGGTTGATTGGTCCAAGGTAGTTGCAGAAAAAATGACGGTGGCCTAGGTGTTGGCACGTTAAAAGCCCAAAATGTCGCTCTATTAACCAAATGGTGGTGGAGACTGTTAAATGAAATTGACAATCTATGGAAAGGTGTCATTGTAAGTATTCATAATCTCATAAAGAAACCTGCCTCATACATTGCTCGCAAATCATCAAATGGAGCATGGTGTAACATTTATTGGGCTGTAAACAGTCTTGACGTGATTAAACTTGACCGTATGAGATCTTCAAGCCTATCCCTGAATCTGGTATGAAAATTTTATTTTGGAAAGACCCTTGGTATGGTGATACCCAATTTCAATTTCGTTTTCCTGCACTATACAACAAAGAAGTCGTTGAATGTTGTGGACTGAGGATCGTCTATCCATCTCTGGCTTCTCTTGATATTGGAAACAGGAACCGAGTGATGATGTTTCACTGAATGAATTGCTGTCGAACAATTCCTCATATGGGTTCTGGTACACCGTTAATTCTTAGCGGCGTTTAATCGATTCAAAAATCATCCATTCCAAAGGACCCATAATTTGTTGGTCAAAAACAATCTCCCTAAAAGTTCGTTGCTTCGTATGGCGGGCCTCAATGAGCATAATTCCAGTTGCGGTATCGTTAGCTGGGACAGGTATTACGATTCCTAATCAACAGTGTTCGTTATGCTATAAAAATCCAAAAATGGTTGATCATCTTGTAGCTAGTTGTGAGTTTGCTCAAGGGGTGCGAGAATGTATATTTAAATGGTGCGGGTTACAACAGAAGCAATTCTCCAATGTAATTGACTTCATTGACTTCTCTGCTTCTTGGGGAAACTGCCATAAGAAAAAGCTGATCATCAGTACGATAATGTTGTGTTTTATGTGGAACATTTGGCTGTCAAGGAATGATAAGGTGTTTAAAAATATGAGAGAACCCTCTACAAAAGTGGCGGACAATATCATTTCTCTTTCATACATCTAACAATGAGCAATGTGGTAATTGGGTTGAATGGAGCTTCTCGCCATTTACACACTTTCATTAACTTGTTTTTGTAATTGCTTTTCTTCGTTCTTCTTTTCTTTCTTTTCAATGTGCTCTTTGTTTCTTGCCTGCATCTTAGCCTCTTGCTAAGTGTTGTGCCTTTTATATGATTATTTGCAGTTAAAAAAAAGATTAGTAAACACGATCAACTACATGGAATTAATGAGACTGAATAAGAGATTCCAAACTTTGTTTTATTAATACGTTAGAAACGTAAACAGCATGACACAAAAATTAAACGTTTAAGCGAAAAGGGTATCAATAAATTTGTAAAAAGTTAATAAGCGAAGAGGTATCAATTAAATTAATCATAAGCCAACCATACGGTGCAGGGGTGAGCAAAAACCAAACCAAAAACCAAAAAAACCGAAAAAACCGCATAAACCGAAACCGAAAAACTGAAACCGAAATGAAAACCGATGGTGCGGTTTTCAGTTTTGCAAAAAACAGAAAATACTCGGTGCGGTGCGGTTTCTAGTCTCGTAAAAACCGTAAAAAACCGAACCGCACCGCATATATATATATATATATATATATATATATATATATATATATATATATATATATATATATATAAAGTGTTGATATTTGTAAGAACCAAGAACTTATGACAATTAAAATTTCTAAATATAAATATCTATCTTATCCATCGGAGAATGATCGTACATTTTTAAGCATACATTCAGTAGTAGTTACAATAACAAATAATGTTTATGACATTTTTTAACTTTTAAATATGAAGAGTACTAATGATAGTATCATTTTTATTAATATATTAATTGATATTATCGATGTACCTATAAAACAAATATTATATTAAAATCGTATTATGTTCAAGCATTAGAAACGTGTTGGATGAGTGGTTATGTAATTTGATTTCAAACCAAGAGGTAGTGGTATTGGTTTATCTCCAAAAAAATGATTAGCATTCCTCATCTGAGTCAAAGTAACTCGCCGAGTTACTTGAGTTTTAGTAAAAAGGCAAAACGAAAAAAAAAAAAAAAAATAATAACAAAAACCCACAAAAAAAACCGAACCACAAAAAACCGCAATAAAAAACCGCAATAAAAAACCGCAAAAACCGAACCGCATAAAAACCAAACAATGCGGTTTCTAAATTTCAAAAAACCGAAGTTGCGGTTTTCGGTTCGGTTTTGACCAAAAACCGCACCAAACCGCACCACGCTCACCCCTAATACGGTGTTTATAGAAAAATCATTTAATGATTTGCATGAAAGCTTTGATATAGAAACTTTGTGATTAAAAATATGGTTATCTATAAGGCATCCACACCAGCATCATAACATGAATGATTAGCATAACATGAATGTCCGGTAGATCTTCAATCAACAAACAAGAACATATTGTTCTTTCATTCTGGTTAGTAATATATAATTAATAGTATAGTTAAATTATTTGTTTTTACATATAATGTACAACAAAAACGACAATAATAAGACTTATATTTACCCATGTTTATGTTCTAATGAACAATAGTAGCCCCATATCGCTCAAATTTCCAAATAATTTCTTCATTTCAAATGAATAACCATTTATATAAATATTTGCATGTTTTGAATGGGCACACTAATTTCTTCAATTTAATTATTTAAATTGGTTTGATTTTAATTATATTTTAAATCAAATGAATAACCATTATATAAATATTTGTATGTTTTTAACGGACACAATAATATCAGTTCACTTATCAAATTGGGTTGATTTTTATTATATTTTATTTTTAACAAGTGAAATAACATTGAAAAACTAACCCAACCCCCTTGTATGTTTTTACACTAAAAAATCAATGTCGATCGAAAAAGATTATGAAATTGTAATAACTACCATAATAAAATTGAAAATATACACAAGCAAAATCTTAAACTAGATCTCATACCACAAAGCTTCTAGCCTAGCTGTATCAGGTATTGCCTCATTTTTCAAAGTCAAGGGTTTAAGTCACTTCTTGGACATAGGTAGATCCAGGAGTATATTAGATTTTGCCGGTTCAAAAATAAAATAAAATAGATCTTAGTGTGAGAAAACATAATTTAACAAAGGTTTATTCACTGATTTAGAACACGATAAAATGAAATTTAAGGTGTGTTAGGCAACGATCTTTTAAGAAAAACTCGAATTAAAGAAAAACTTTATTTGGAGTATGAACTTAAAAACTTTTATTTTAAACAAAAAACTCATAATTCAAGAGATACTTCAAATAGTTTTAATCAAACAGCTTTTACTTTTTAGTTTCTATACAATTTTACACTTATAAAAAGCTTCCACATAGTTTGCCAAACGCTTCCACCTAGTTAATTTCCTTTAAAAGTAAAGTCAAAGTCCTTTAGAATTAGAGGTGCCATTTAAACTTATTCATATGAAAATAAATTAGTTATCAAGTTGTAATTTATTGATAACAGGTCAAATCAGTTGAAATTCATGTATACAAATGTTTATATAACAATGGAACCTTTTTATATATCTATAATTTTAGTAATACAATATTTTAAATGTATTTAATACGTTTATCATTATAAAACTACAAAAAAAAACACAAAGTTGACCCCAACACAATCTGATGAGTTTTATCCTGTACTTAAAAAGACCCAATGGGTACATTACATACCATTCAAGGAGTAAAGGTCAAAAATACCCTTGTACAACTTCTTTTAGCATAATGTACAATCATTTTAAGCTTTCGGCCTCCACTGAACAATACATAAAGCCTGTTCAATACATAAAGACCCGAAAAGGCTGTGTATTGATATTTACAACAATTTACATTCATATTTACTGCAATAAGCTTATGTTGTTCTTTACCCTAACAATTTGTACAATGACAAGTAAGTCACTAGCCTCTCCATTTCCTAACCTGAAACAAAGAAACATAATAATAATAAGGACAAATTGTAGGAAATAGCAACACACTTTATGTTTTTATTGATATAAGAAATTTATTTTTTAATGTACTTGCATTTCTCATTGCTCATATTAATAATGAAAAATAGAAACATTATGTACCTGTTTCGTTTTCTGTGCTACACCCAATGAAGATCCATCATGGAGAAGAAAAAATTAAACATTTTCCAATGATCAAGTTCCTTTTCTATGCAAAATGGCATGGTTAACTAGCTTCAGTCAGGTGTTTGAACTCTCTTGCCATGTATCTTTTGTATCAATATCAGCTTGTTTTTGTGTTCCAACTACATCCACATGATAAAGCAATATCAGAAACATGGCAACTTTAATATAGTCTTTCTTAATGCTTATACATGAGGATTTTGTGTTGTTGAAAAAGATGGGATTCTTATGATTATTGTCTATTTTGGAAAAAAGAATATACCTGGTAAATAGACAAAGAATATGTATGAATTAGTCCTCATCTGAAGTTGAGTTCTCGTCTGAATCAAAAGTATCCACCCGTCTCAATGCAATGGCAGGAATAAGTCGTTCTTTTGGAACATGAAAACCGGATGGGAGGAGTTCTGAAGGTGGAAAATCATCTTTCTTTTGAGTCTCAGGTTGCAAATCATTTGTTTCTTGTGTCTCATTTTGCAAATCTTCATCTTCCAGTGTCTTAGGTTGCATGTGCTCATTCTCCTGTGGCTTAGGTTCCATGTCATCATCTTCTAGTGTCTTAAGTTGTGAATTATCAAGTTCCTGTGTCTTAACCTCAAAATCTTCATCTTCCCATGAAGTATCAGATTGTAAATCATCATCATCACCATCATCATGTGTCTTATGTTGTGAATCATCAAGTTCCTGTCTCTTAATCTCCAAATCTTCATCTTCCCGTGTCGTAGGTTGTAAAGCATCATCATCATCATTATCATCATAATCATCATCATGTGTTTTATGTTGTGAATCATCACGTTCCAATGTTTCATGTCCTAAATCATCACTTTTCTCGATCTTGTATGGTGATTTTATTTCCTGTGTCTCATGAAGTAAATCATAATTTTCCTCTATTTCGTGTGGTGGATCCTCACTTTCCCGTGTCTCATGTTTTTGATCTTCATTTTTCCAAGAATCTTGGAGATCATCAACTTCTTGTGGACTCTGACTTTCTTCTGGCACATGTCCAAGATCCCCATTTCTCCAAGAATCTTGGAGACCATCAACTTCTTGTGGACCCTCACTTTCTCGTGTCCCATGTCTCGGATCCTCATCTTTCCAAGAATCTTGGAGAGCACCGACTTCTCGTGGTCCCGCACTTTCCTGTTTCTCATCACCCATATCCTCATTTCTCCAAGAATCTTGGAGATCATCAACTTCTCGTGGCTCCTCATTTTCCTGTTTCTCATGTCCTAGATCCTCATTTCTCCAAGAATCTTGGAGATCATCAACTTCTTGTGGAACTTCATTATCCTGTTTCTCATGCATCACATCCTCATTTCTCCAAGAATCTTGGAGATCATCAACTTCTCGTGGAACTTCATTATCCTGTTTCTCATGTCCTCGATCCTCATTTCTCGAAGAATCTTGGAGATCATCAACTTTTTGTGGATCCTCATTTTCCCGTTTCTCATGTCCTAGATCCTCATTTCTCCAAGAATCTTGGAGATCATCAACTTCTTGTAGAGCTTCATTATCCTGTTTCTCATGCATCACATCCTCATTTCTCCAAGAATCTTGGAGATCATCAACTTCTAGTGGACCCCCACTTTCATGTTTCTCATGTCCAACACTATCATCACTCCAAGAATCTTGGAGATCATCAACTTCTTGTGGATCCTCATTCTTCCAGGAATCTTGGAAACCCTCACCTCCTCGTGTCTCACGTTTCAAATCATCACTTTCCCTAGTCCGACATGGCAAATCATCATTTTCCCGTGTCCTAGGAGACGAAACATCTTTCATTTGTGTCATCCTTGGCGACAAAACATATTTCGTCTTTTCTGTCGTCCTATGTGGCGAACCATCTTTCTTCTCTTCTGTCGTCCTACGTGGCGAACCATTTTTCTTCTCTTCTGTCGTCCTACGTGGCGAACCATCTGTGGTCCTACGTGGCGAGCCATCTTTATTCTCTTCTGTCGTCCTACGTGGCGAACCATCCTTCTCTTCTGTCGTCCTACGTGGCGAACCATCTTTCTTTTCTTCTGTCGTCCTACCTGGCGAACCATCTTTTTTCTCTTCTGTCGTCCTACATGGCGAGCCATCTTTTTTCTCTTCTGTCATCCTACGTGGCGAGCCATCTTTCTTCACTTCTGTCGTCCTACGTGGCGAGCCATCTTTCTTCTCGTCTAATTTTGTCTGTATCGGCTTAGGTGGCGGCTTTAAAGGAGTTTCTTTAATCTCTTTACAAACTTTATCCAAAATAATCAAAAAATCACGAACAATAACAAACAATCTCAACCCTTCATCTTTCCCGGCTTGTCCATGAAAATAATCCGCTGTTTTTTTCACAAGTGCCATTATTCTCTTTTCTTCCTCAAGCATCCACATAATATCTTTCTCAGCACTTTGCACAAATCCAGACAAAATCCCAGGAAACTCATCCTCATCCTCATCACTATCATCATCATAACTATTATTTTCTTGTAAATTCTTCAAATCCGTATCTAAAAAATCACGTGCTTTTACAAGCGCGTTTCCAAATTTAGAAACCGTTCCAGTCAACCCATCTGAATCAATAGTGGCGGCTTTCTTAACATCTTCAAGCTCACCACACAATCTTGACACCTCTTGGAGACCAAGATTGCGATAGTATTCGTTTGTGTCTTGTGAAGAATTAGCGGCTTCTTCTAGAAGGTCATTGCTTTTGGCTACTCGTATACCTTCTGCCCTAATGATTTCAAGTACTACAAAATGTAAAAGAGTTGTTTTTCCATCGACTCCTTTAACATCTGAAAGTTTTAACAAAGTGTCGAGTTTGAATGCTTGTGCACTTCCACGAAATGTTCCATCATTCATACGGTTCCCGGTTTTTAAAACGGCTTCTAGAAGCTTTAAAAACAACCGGCTTTTTTTAAGTTCTTTGCAAGCAGACTGTAAAAAAAGTTAAAAATACCATAAAGTTAGACAACAAAAAGAGGTGTTTTTACTTTTTATTGGGTTGTTTCTTTTGACTTAATCCGGATGGAATGAATTAATTGGTTAAGCCAAAAAACCTGGCTTCATGTATTAATACACCAACTCCTCTTACTTTAAATTGAAGAATATTGTGAAAATTGTTTTGTTGGAAATAATGTAAGGGTAAAATGGTCATTTAGTCTTTGATGGTTTATTCAGATAGAAAAGAAACAAGACCTTATGTGTACAACATTTTATACAGATAGACATCGTTACTCATTCAACCACTTTATCCATATATGACTTAATGGACAACAAAAGAGGGAAATGTTTTACCTCTAATGTTTGGAAGTATTCTTTGATGATATCTTGTTCCTCTTGAAGTGTGCACATAAAAAGTAAAGTTTCGAGTCTTTTGAAAGCGAATGGAATTTCAACTAATCTTTTTAGAAACTTCTCTGCAGTTCCAAGGCGAGATAAATCCCCATCATATAGTCTTAACTTCATTTCTTCTTCTACACTTGGTGCCATTTTCAGCAATGTTTGAATAAGCTCTACTGGGAGCTCATTTCCTAACAAAAAAGCATCATTATGAAAGTATTTAACCAAAGAAAGAAACATCATTATGAAATAGTAACATCCTTTTTTTTTTTTACTGATTTGGGACATATATTTTAGTTTTTACTTATAATAACAACGTACTAATGATTTTATACAGATTACAGTCATTTTTACCATGGAATTTTTTTCAACTTTTTTTGGTTATGTGACATGCAACGTATGGTTATAGTTTCTTATGATGCATGTTATGAGTTTGATTTCCTTTATAAGATTAAATAAGTTCATGATGTTTAATAAAAGTAATATAGAAAACAAAATCAAATATAGAGTAGATCGAAAACAATGCCAACCGACATTTAAAACTAACAAAATCTATAAAATATTTTGTTGAAATTTACAAAAAATGCCATATAGGACAAATAATGTAACTCTACTTTGTTATAATGGAGATATAGGGATCGATATAAATTACTTGGTAATGTTTTGAATGATGATTTGACATTTATATTGGCAAATCATCATTCATTGAATGCCACATAAGCAAAAAGTTAAGGCTACATGCTCCATGTTAAAAAATTTACATTGCTATTATGTTTATTTCTTAAATTAACTAAACGCACAACTCAAAAGTCACAAATTTTATCATATTTAAGTGAAGTAAGGGAAAGGGTTACCTTCTTTAAGTGCATCACAAACTTCATTTGTTGTAATATTAATTGCTTTTAGATGAATGGACAAATTTTGGGCCTTCTTTCCATCAATAATTTGAATAATATTCGAAGAGGGATCTTGTGATGAACTCTTCCTGTTACTCCCTTTGTTTTTCTCATTATATCCAAATAAATTTTCTATCATTTCTTCATTAAACCTGTTCATTAAAAACACATTATGATTTAGAAACTTGAATAAATAAAAAGAGAAAATGACAAAAATAGCCATATTGGTCCCACTGTGAAATTTTCCTTTTGTGGTCTCCACCCAAATAAATATTACAAAACTAAAACATTATGCAAAATTGAAGAACAATTTGGCAGTATATAAGATTTTCAAAGCAAATTTCACAGTGAATTGCAAAATTGGTGGGTTTTTTTTTTTATGATTTTCTTTTAAGAAAAGGGCTATTTGTTTAAAGTCCTCCCCAATATGGGCATTTTTGTCATTTTCTCAAATTAAAACTTGTTAAAATAATAAAAAAAACCCAAACTTACTGAAATGACCCTGCTCTAATTTGATGCCAAACCATGGCTTGATCAGGGCTTGCCATAACCTTATCCCAAAAGAACGGCTTTAACTTAGCTTTATTAGAATCATCACCATCAGCATCACCTGGTGAAGGACGTGTAGTTTTCAACCCTACACCAGGTGGTCGAGGCGGACCTTTCACACCACCACCTGGAGGCGGCGGCGGTCGTGGACCTTGCTTTAATGGCGGAGGCGGTGGCGGTGCTTTTCCAGATGGCGGTGGAGGCGGTGGTGCAGCTAACGGAGGCCGTCTAGCTGAAGCGGCTCGTGAAGGACCATGAAGACTTAAAGGAGCGGCAGATGGTGATAACACCGGAGCTGCGGCGGCACCACCGCCGCCAGCTGGCGATCGAGAAGGAGGAGAACCGGCGTTGAGAGGAGGAGTGTGTAGATCTTTCATTCCCGGTGGAGCTTTTAAAGCCAAATCGGGCCTGCCAGGTGGCGGTTTCAGAGGCGCGATTCCAGAAGCAATCAAATTTCCAGGAGGTGGATCTAATGGGATACCTAATGAAACACTTGAATTCACTGATGAAATTGTTTTCTTTATGTCTGATTTTGTAAACATCAAATTATCTCCACCATTTCCAAAACCTTTGTTAGACTTTTGCCCACTGTATGTAGGTTTTTGAGAAGAACCTGAAAGTTTAATATCATATCCACATCAAAACAACCAACTTGAATGATCATAGAAAGGCAAATTGCTGATAATATCAAAGTACTTTACCTTTTTTACCAGTATAGGCAATGTACTTTATTTGTTATATATTATAAGTAAAAGAAAATGCAGGCACATTGCTATTATGGGTAAAAATTGTAAGCATGTTGCTATTTTATATAAAGAATATGAAGGTATGTTGCAATTATGGGTTAAAAAATTGCAAATATTGGTAAAAAAATGTAAGCATGTCGTTATTATGGGTAAAAAGTGTAATTATGAGTAAAAAATAGTGTACATTGCCTATATTGGTAAAAAGGGTAAAGTGCATTGCTATTATCAGAAATTTGCCATAAAAGATATACCCATTGTAGTACTCACTCATGCTTAAGCTGAGAAGGGGTTTTTCGTCATTTTGCACCCCACTATAAGACTTGGTATACCAACAAAACAAAAGGGTAGCAAGAAGAAATGTGACAACTGAAGTGGAAACGACAGCAATAATGATTGTGGTATTGGTGATTCCACTCTCATCCCCGTCTGCTTTAATAACAGCAAATGGAATTGGTTCTATATCCAAACTTTGACTTTGACCATTTTGTTTAGGGGTTTCTTCAGTACAGTGAGGCTCACAATTTGATTCAGCCAACTTGCGTCGAATAGGAACTGGAATTGGTGATTCCACCCTCAAGCAATCTAGCATAGATCTTTCTTTTTCCAAAGGTACTTTATCAATGCCATTGGATTCAAGATCTTGAAGAGCTTCAACGAGATGAGTAAACTCTGCTCCACAATTGGTCCTTAATAGTTCAAACTGTCAATTATAATCATATTAGAGCAATAAATCTTGGTTACTAATTACTATAATAAGCACGTGACTGATATCAAAATCCTATAAAGATTGTGGGTCAAGCAAAACAACAAACACTTTGTGGGCATGACAGTAAACCATATATTTACATGTAAAGTTCTTGAAAAACAAAAAAACATCAAACTAGAATCTGATAGTAGTTCCTTTAGAATCATATTAACATTCTGATGTCAGTTGAAGGATAACAAATCGCATAATAGATTGTGGCTTAAGCAAAACAATAAACACTTGTTGGGCATGGAAATCAACTACAGCAAAGCTGTCTTTAATTAACTTCAGCAGTAATTCATGATGGTAATTACCATCTATAACCATATACATTTACATCTAAAATTCTTGAAAAGAAACAAAAAGTGGAACTAATATGAGCAAGAGCAGAGTGGTACCGTTTCCTCATCCATCGTCCCCTCCAAATTGCTTAGATTACCAAGTGGCAGTTGCTGCTGGGTATTTCTGTAGCATTTTGAAACTATTGTTGCTGCCAAAGGGAAAAGTAGAGCAACAATTGCTATGAATGAAACCATCCCTTTGGCGCCCATTTTTTCTTATATCAACAATGTGGGTTCGTACAAGTATAAATATAATGAAACCATATATCCCAATTTGACAAGAAAGCAGCAGTTATCATCGTCGACGAACGCTCAAAGTTACGTTTAGCATGTGACGTATATTCGGTGGTCAAGAATCAATAAATTCGGAAGAAATGTCGAATTCTGGGTTCCGAATGAATGAAACCCCAGAAAAAGCCAACAATTCTTCAAAATCAAACGGAAACACGAGCAGTTTGAAAAAAATAATCGATTAATATGTTGGAAGAATGCTGTCAGAGATACAAAAGCAACAAGGTTTGATTTTTATAGAAAAGTTTTGAATTTCATCGGCGTTCTGATTGAATATGTTTCTTCTCACGCGTCGATTGTAGAAAAGATAATCCCCATAAACGCAACAATGACGCAGAAAGAAGCCGTGGAGCAGGTGTTTGAACTATTTCAGAGATAAAATCATAGTCTGGTTAAGGAATGCAGAAACCTAACGATTTGGGAGTCGATATTGAACATAGTTGATCGTTATGGGAGGTTTTCATTCAGTTGCCGGCATTTCGTAATCACCTGCGTTGAAAAAATAACAATTCATTTTTCTCTAATAATTATCATTTCAGGTAATTTAATATTTCAAGTAAGATATTATTTTGATTTTTTTATTAAAATGATGACATCTAAAATTATTGTGATTATTTTATATAAAATGAGGGAAATAGATTATCCAAACTAAAAAATAACTAAATATTTGTCGAAAACGATATTATTTTTTGTTGCATTTTCAAATCAAACTTATATATTAGCATAATTTTAGACTCACGTTAAACCATACTGAAAATTATGTATCACAAAATTTAAATTTATTACGGAGTATTATTTTTCTTGAACAATTCACTTACACTTCCACTATGCTCATAAATTTATACATTTTGTCTCTATTGAGACTTGAGTATATACTTATCTAAGGTAAGTATATAATTTCCTAAAATACAAGATAAATACAATTACTACATTATAATAATAATACTAATACATGGTTATGATGAAACTTTTGGTATCCAAATACAAGGATGTTTTAGTTTGAAATACCCTTGTCTTATCCACACATCTTTTAAGTTCTTCATGCTCTTTCTAAGATGTAACTCCCATCTTTTGTTCATTTGTGTCGTTAGAAACCAGATTCATCCAAAGCCAATTAAACAACCACTTCCCCTTGTTCTTGTGACATGAAAAGCCATTGTTCTCATGTAAATGTAAAAGTTGAAGTTTCTTAATTCTTTTATTGATTTGTGTTCAAGTTGTTATACATCAAAATTTGTGGAGTTTTAACACATTTTATAGCATCAACGGATCAACTCTGACAACTGCATACGACAACATTGGTTTGATAGAAAATATGCATAGATGTCATTAATTTGTCGCTAATCTCTCATTAATTTGTAGCATCAACGGATTAGCGACAAATTAGTTACCATGATAGATTAAAATTCCGGGACGCCTGATGACACAGACGATGTGTGGTCGCACACCCCACATATGCTCAGGGCCAGCCTGGCAGTTGCTATGCATTTCCTGTAACCGATAAATTCATTAGAAATTAAATTATAAAGATACATTACTAGACAATAAGAATATACCATTGAGCAATATATAGCACTCCACTTGCAAAAGGTAGCTATAAAACTCAACACAAAAAACGCCACCAAAACCACACTTTTTAATTAAAGAACCCACAAAAAAAAAGGATGCCGTGACTACACAAGAAACTTCAGGCCAATTTCCTAAAAATTCAACTCTTTTTGTTCGTACACCTAAAGATAAGGCCACTAATTAATGCAATGCACCATATGACAACAACATCCAATATTCTTTTACATCATATAAATTTCTTTTATCATAAAGTGGTTCTTTTGAATTCTTGACTATAAAGAGGATCACCGAATAATAACCAAAAGTGAAGTGACTTGTGTGATCCAACGATATAACTTCTAAGTCAAGACATTTCCATGAAATATCTGGAAAAACGAAATATTCCTACAACTTTACAGTCTCCATATATTCCAATACGATATGTTCTTTCTACTTTTTGTATGTAACTTTTAAACTATAAGATCACTCTTAAACATCTATCTAAACGTCAACTTTGCACGACTCTAGAATCCAATTTTCACCTTCCTTGGATGGCTAGCATGAAACTTGAGGTTGTTTCAGAAGACCAATCTCTACGTAAATGGTGTGTTCCTTTGAGAGAAGACATTTTTGCTACATTTATGGCAAAAGGAAGTCCAATCATGCATAAGGTTTTTGGTGATAAATCATTGTTTGGACCATTATTGTTTACAAAATTCTTTGATCCATCGGATGCGTTTCCACTATGGGAATTTGAACCAGGTGTGTTGTTGTCTAATCTTCAGAACCCATGTGTGGATTGGCTTCAAACAGACTCATGTTATGTTCTTAAATCCGAACTACCAAGTAAGTCTTTCTTCTTCATTTCTATATAGTACTTACGAATTTACAGACATTATGAATGGTTGGTTGTTTTGATTGCAACAGAAATAGAAAAAAGCAGTGTTCGAATTTGTGTTGAGAATGGAAAGGTGATAGAGATTAGTGGGGTGTGGAAGAACAAAGGAGAATCATCAAGAACAGACTGGAGGAGTGGCGAATGGTGGGAGCATGGCTTTGTGCGGCGGTTGGAGTTGCCGGAAAATACAGACTGGAAGAAGACGGAGGCGTATGTGTATAATGATACAGTTTTGGACATTAGACTTCCGAAGACGCCATCAATGGAGTACTGTAATGAGGGTGTGATCAAAGAATCTTCATCTGGGTAGTCCTTGGTTTTGCTTTCGTAATTAAACACACTGATTATATATACACAAATCACTGCACATTTCGCCATGAAAAGAACAATAAAACCACTTGAATTATTGAATCTTGATCATGTCTTGTTACTGTGATATAATGCTCACAAAAAACTAAAACAAAATGATATACGTGTTATTTCTGGTAATTAATTAACTAGTTGCAAATCAAAGATTAATATGAGGTGTAGCTTTGAAGTCATGCAAGATGAAGCTTATTCACATATTTTAAGGTAAATATTTGATGGATGAAATTAGCAAGAAGTAAAACCAAGTGGGTGTTCATGGAAATCAAAGAAGAAATAGATTCTTGAAGAATAGATGCACTTACATTATTCCACATCGCATCAATTCCCAGTGTGCAAGTTGAAGACTTTCGGCTGGCATTTCATCGAACATCTTACGTCCCTTTTATTCTCTCTTCAATGGGAAACTTTTGGAAAATAAAGATACATTTAAATAATTTAAATACTATATTATAAAAAATAACAAATGGGGATGTAGCTCAGATGGTAGAGCGCTCGCTTAGCATGCGAGAGGTACGGGGATCGATACCTCGCATCTCCATATTTTTAATTTCCGTATGTTTTTTTTATATACCCACTTTTTTTGCTATCAAGTTTTGGGCTTTATAGGCCTACTTTTTGGTAATCTCAATTTTGTATGGTTTTCAGTTTTCTCATAGTTAGTTACTTACTCACACACAACTTATTTCATTTTTCTTGATTTGATAACAAATTTTCTTGTCAATTTGGTTACTGAATTTAGAAAAATCGGTTATAACGGTGTAAGTGTTTATTAACATAAAGCTTGGAGTTATAATGAGAGAGATAACATAACATGTTAATTTGAAGACGTAATTAACCAAGAAATAGTGTCATCATCTAAACTCACAAAAATTAGATAGTTGGTTGTTACATTGGTAGTTAAACAGTTAACCAACTTATTTATACACTACATTAAGTTATATATTGATTTTTTGAACAAAAAAAATGTTTTTTGAAGACGATATTTACAAATATATGAGATAAAGAATTGTCTAAATCTAAAGGACACCAAATTTGCTCTTTCATTTATTGTCGAAATTACAACATTTAATTTTTAAAGTCTTAATTCTCTCATAAATTGTTTCTCAAGTTAGCTATGCTTACATGACAAACCGATTAAACTTGTCTGGTTCGTGTGAAAGACAATCTATAAGACCTTATTAATTAGTACAACCATGTGTATTATATCACACTCTTCAAAAAAACTTTTTCTCAAATTCAAGGGGGCACATTTTTTTATAAAAAAGCCAAATAATTATTTAAAAAGAAAAAAAAACAAATAATAATCTTCCAAAGCTAATAGTTTTCTTTTAGTTACGCATAATCTTCCAAGTCAAACAGTTTTCTTTAAGTTACACATAATCTTCCAAATCTAATAGTCTCGGACCTTTGGGTTTTTAGTTCTTTTCAACTAATATTATTTCCTATTTTTTAGTTAGATTGGATATTCTATTAATTTGTTATGTTTTACAAATCAGAAATTAAATTGCTTCCTATTTTTTATGCCTACAAATGTTCCTACCCAATAAAATTATGACAAGTGTCATCATTCCATATTTTTTTAACTAACTCATTAAGGCTATATTAGGAATATATCAAATAAAATAAAATTGAATGATGATTTGTCATAATTTTAGTGGTAGGAATAATTGTAGGCATAAAAAGTAGGAGGTAATTTAATTTCTCCAAATCAAAAATTAAATTGCTTCCTACTTTTTATGCCTACAAATATATAACATCAAAGATAACCATGATAAATCTAAACGAAAAATTTGTATGGTTCTTAAACTTTTGTCCGTTGTAATCATGCTTACCATTTATAAGATTTTAGATACATATTAACTAGAAATTTAATGTTTTTATACATGTTTCACAAATGTATACAAGTATAAGATATGAGATTTTAGATACATAATAGCTAGAAATTTAGTGTTTTTATATATATGTTTCACAAATGTATACAAACACATACTCATATTTTAGTATTTGCAACCGGCTTATTTTTTTATATATACTATCACTACTTGTGTATCTATTCATCATATGTTGCTTGTTGTTATGTGTAGATTTATTCCATTTATTTGTTCTTCCTTCAGATACAACAATGTATTTTTCATCATGGAGTGATATTTTATATATTTTTATGTATATCTATTTTTTTATTGTTTTTGTCGGAAATCTTCTATAAAAAATAGTTTATTTATTGTATGGTAAGAATTGTCCATCATCATATCTTCTCATTACCCCTATTTATATGAGACTAAAGTAGAGATGATGATGTGTAATAATTAGAAATTTAATGATTAAAAATATTGTTTAATTAAGAGAAAGATCAATTTAAATTAAATTTGATGCCCCCAACCTTTTGCATAATTTCGTCAAAACAGTAAAGATTAAACTAGTGCCATAGTTTCCTTCTAATTTCCTTACACATTAAATATTTAAATAAAGGACATAACATTAAATTGATGTAACTTCACATTTTTATTGAAAGTGATGCAACATGGTGATTTTAAACGGAAATATGAAGAAAAAAACGTTGTTTCTTGTATGGTAAAATAATAGGCTACTTAATAAGTTTCTTATATTCGGGTTTTCATTAATAAGTTCTCTTTCTCTCTTAAAAAATGAAATATAAACATATTTATATTTCGTATATGATACATTCGTTTACATTTTATGATTGTACGATCTTTTCCTAACAGCAATAGGACAACAACACAACAAAGTATTCTGAGAATTCCATTAAAATGAGATAGGGGGAAGATAGAAATCAATGTCTGTATTTCTTTTTCTAAAATGTATATTTATTTGTTATCTTCGTTTGACAAAATAATAAAAATAGAAAATTCATGAAATAATCAAAACCTAAGGGGTGTTTTAAGCATTTAACCATAAAATTTGGAGTTTTGGTAAATGACCACAAGATCCGCAGAGAGGGCTCTGCGGATCGGTTTAACCCTCTGAGGAACTTAGCATAGTACCGAGGAAATGAGTTGACACCACTAAATGACAAATTTTTTTGGGGCTTTTATGGTTCCGCAAAGGTGGCTCTGCGGATCCTGTGAACACCTCTGCGAATCGCTTAATGTCTCTGAGGAATTGGTAGTTGACTGATCCACAGACCCGACTCTGCGGATTTATGCTACACCTCTGTGGAAATCTTGATTTCTCTGCAGAAAATGATAGTTGTAGTCGTGTTTAAGCATTGATTGACGATTATATATATGTTTTTTTCAAGTTATTATCGTTTTTTATGACTTTTAGTGACCATAAACAAATTTTTTTTCATTTTTATGAATGTTTTAATCACTAGAAGTCGTTTTTTCGTTGTTTTTGTGGAGAGTATTTTGTAAAAATGAGTTTTATTATTCTGTGTACGGGAGGGTTGTGGCAGTCAGTTAATGGAAATGAGGTTTACGTTAGAAATAATGTGAAAAACTATGGTTTAAATATTCCTCCTAACTTTGACCATCATATGTTATTACAAATGGTTAGAAATAAGGTTGGTGTGTTTAATAGTCATATATCTTTGTCTTTTAAACACCCAGAGTGTGGGTATGTCATGGAGCTTGCAGATGAATCTAATGTAGTCCACCTGAGACATGTAATGTCTGAAACAAAGCAGAAAGTGCATTTGTATTTATCGGTGGTAGTTGAAGAACAACCAGTGGTGAAAAACCAGTTTATTGGAGCAAAAACTAGTAGAGGTCGTGGAGATAGACAATTTGGTGGAAACCGGTACAGGGGACGATGAAATAACGTGGGAGTAAGTTATGAAAAGAAAGCTTCAGTTGCTGATAAGTTTGTATCAGATAATGATAACTTTTTATCAGATAATGATAATGAACCAAATTTGCGCATGACAGAATTTTAACAACAATATTTATTTGAGTTTGGAGAAGTATCTGATTTTGATGATCAATTATATGATGAAGAATCAAATGAAGACTGGTCGGAAGATGAGTACACGCAATGGAAAATTGCTTTTAATCCCTGGTATTGCATTCCTCCTATTCCTGATTGTCTAGAACCTATTCTTGAACCTGGACCATTTCACAGTATAAGTCTGAATGATAAAATATTTGTGAATCAAACGTATAACACCAAAAAAGACCTAACAACTTCTGTTAAATTCAAAGCGGTTAAAGAAAAGTTTCATATTAAGGTTCAAAAATGAAGCAAATCTCGGTACGAGGTTGTTTGTTTGCAAGAAAATTTTCATTGGCGTTTATATGCAACTGTCATTAAAGGAACTAAAATGTTTGAAATTAAGACTTTTAATGAGGAGCACACATGTTCTTCATTACTTATACACCAAAGTCATAGGCAATCAACTAGTGAAGTTGTGGAACCATAATACTTGACATTATGGGTCAAGGTGGTTTAAGAGTTTATTTTAAACTTTTTGAATCATTTAAACTTTTTGAATCATTTAAAACCATTCAATTATTACAATTAGTTTTCAAAAGAGTTTATACATCAGAGTTCCCAGAAATCGTAATCATCAATCGAGGAAGTGTACGGTCACACCTTCGCCTTCCCGCAGTCATCTGCTGAACCTGAAACAATAAACTAAAAATGTAAGCCCGAAAGCTTAGTGAGTTACCCCCAAAATACCAACCTCATATAACCATAATCATAACATATCAACAAGTACAGAACAACCATGCATCTCGAGTCTACAGTGTGACTGGTCCGCCCGCACCGGGCCTTCAGTCCACCTGGTCCACTCTCTGAGTCTTCAGTATGACTGGACCGCCTGCACCGGGCCTTTAGTCTATCTGGTCCACTCTCTGAGCCTCGACACGTCTGGACCGCCCTCTCGGGGCCTTCAGCCTATCCGGACCGCTCGCCGGGCCTTCGGCCTGACTATGTGCCCTCCCGGGTCTGCAGTCAATCCGGTCCGCCCTGGGTATGTTGGCCTACAGCACGAAGCAGGACCCGCCTCAACCCAACCCCCAATCAACAACCATGTGCACATATAACAAATAATCACATAACAGTCTAT